TTCAGTCAATTGGACTCCATGACCAGAAGGTAAATTATATTATCTTCCTTTTTCTTACTCTAAAGGTTAACAACAGAATATCCAGGACACTATGGAGAAGATATGGACATGATGATGTACACTTATGATTACTACATCCGTGGGGCAACCACAACTTTCTCTGCTGTGGACAGGTTTGCTTTTCATCTGTTTCATTAGAAATTCAAGAAAAAAAAAGTATTTTCTTTTCTATTTCCCCCAACAGTGCATGGTGACACATCATCTGCTGTGGTACTCAGCATCAGGCTAGTACTTCTGAGGACCAAAGTTTACAGTGCATATGATTCATTGCCCAGGGTGGTGTATCAGGAACAGGACATCTTCACACTCAAGGGGATCATTTGCCATGTCCATCTGAGCAGCGAAAAATACAACATTGGTAGGCTTGGCTGAATCTGAGCTCCACAAAATGTAACAGATCTTCAGTATTGTTTCTCACCTACCTCTAGTTGGCACATATTTCATCTAGCTTGGTAAAAACAGCCTGAACAACCTGTCCTTTCAGGGGATGAGCAACTTATTTTGGCCCACTAGTCTTTGCAGAGAAGCAGGGAAATCTGCCAGCATGCAAAGACAAAACCATACAAACTGCAGCATGAATGCTATAAACTGCCCAATCCATTTCAATGCAATTCTAACAGATTTGAGGTCACACCAGGAATTAAGGCAATGCAGTGCACATTGATCCCTTGCCAGAAGATGAGTTAACTGCTTTTACTTGCTCAGTCCTGGTCATTTGTTGACATTTGCTAATCCTTTTGGGAAAGATCCTATGACTAGTGAAGTTGTAGTCATACAAATGGATTCATAATTTCTCTGCTCGATTAAAAAGAAGTGTCTTTCCCTCTTTACTATGCAGAACTTCAGAGTTTTAAAACTTGGGTTTAACAGAAAGCCCACAGTGCTGTCTGCCTGGGACTGCAGAGATCCTAACAGAGCAAGTTTAAGGAATGTGAGCAGTCACTGAAACCTGATTGTGGGAGAGGGATCTTGATGCTTTCCTCTTGAGCTGCGCTCTAATACATCAATCATGAGTTATTTCTTTGCTGATGTCTTTTATCAGACAGCTCAGTCCAGTATATTAAAGCATTTGTTATCAAGCACAGCACAGACAGCCAGGCAAGGTGTGCTGCACTGGTCTGCCAAGACTGGCTACAGGAGAAGGGGGAGAGAAGAGAGAAGTGGGAGTTTAAACACACCAACATTTCAAGCTGTCTCTAATAACACTCAAAGACACCGAGGTGCTTTTGTCACTGTGATGCTCTCAGCTTGCCAGAGTTCACTAGGGATCCCTCAACCAAAAGGTTACCTAAAATAAGGAGGCTTTTCCAGAAATGATAACACACTTTAAGACTGCTGCAGGTCCATTACTGTAATTTCCTGGCTAAAATGCATTATCCTGTTTATTACCAAATGGAAGTCATGTCTGCAATTTTTCCTACAAGTGGAAGAATAACTTTCACAGATACTTGACTCAAAGGTATCTATTTATCCCTTTAGATAAGGAACTTACAAGGTTGCAAGGGACATCCCCGTTCTGGGGCCTATTAAATATTCCCCAGTGCTTATTCTTAATCCTTGCTCCTCATGGCTGTGGCAGAGAGTAGGGGAAATAATGCAGACAGCGCATTCCCCTGCAGCTGGATTCCAGACTCCATCGGATGTGGACCAGGGTAAAGTCTGGAATCACAAGGACGAGCCTGGAAAACAAAGCAGTTGAGGCAACCAATGCCTCTGAGCAGACTTCTGTCTCTGACTGCTGAAGCCTTAACAGAGCCTTCAGAACAGGGTGGCAGTGGGGGGCCAGGCCAGGAATGGAGGCAGCATATTGGGTATGTACATCAGGAGTACAAATCCTCACAAGTTATGGGACCACAGTACCTAGAAAGGGAAAAAAACACCAACACCTCTGTCCTACCACTGCTGTAATGGCAGATGTGAACCTGCAATAGTAGCAGGTGAAAACTACAGAGAAAATATTTTATGAATTGCAAACTAGAAAGGATTTCTGTGCCAATGAACTTTCTGGCCCTCAGCTTCCAGAATGACTAAAATCAACTTGTGTTGCCAAGCGTATGAAGTGAAAAAAAATTCCTGCTACACCAGTTCAGAATTCAGATTCACACTGCAGCACTCCTGAGTGGGATACTGACAAGAGCTGGTAAAGTTTGCCGTCATAAATGGTTCTTTGCAGCTGGTTGAGTCAGAAAAGGAGCAGAAAAAGCTATTGTGAGTGTCAGTCTGCCAGAAGCATTTACATGAGCAGGTTGTCTGTGTAAACATTTTGTAACTGCTTTTCATTTCCAAGCACGTAAAACTTGTGTCCATACTATTTAGTCCATGATGGGTGCTGCTCTTGAACTAACAAGAGGCACAAAAAAAGCCTCTGAAAGTATTTCAGTTTAAACTTTCCTAGTCACTTCAAACAGCTAGGTATGTTTAGACTTTTTGACAAACTGACAGAAATGATGTCCTCCCTTCCTACTCTCTAACACTGGAGAGTAGAACCACTGCATCACTGGCATCACTATCCATACACAGATATTTGAGACAGCATGTGATGCTTCTCATAAAGGATGTAGAAAGTTTAGAATGGTGGTATCCCCACCTCCCCTTCTGTAATCATTCTTTGTGAGTTTCCATGCCTGTATATCAGGAATGAAGGAAAGAGTTGTTGATCATCAGAGGTTTTAAGTGCTCATGTGTGGAGAAGAGACTTCAGAAGTGGTTAGTATTTACATTTTCCAGTCTCATTTTAAATAGGTCAAAAGGAGAAAACAACTGTCTATAAAGTAAGATAAAAGCAGCTGGAAAGAATTAGCATAGGCCTGAAGTATTCCTGGGAGCCCACTCAGGAGTGTGGTGATAACACTGATCCAGACAGGATGACTTAAGAACACAAGTAAGGGAACATTTGCAGGGAAAGGCAGTAACTTTTGTGAGACAAACTGATAGAGTCAGATTTCAGAGAAGGGCATGCGTAGCAGGATGTAAACAACTGAAACTGCTCACATAGACAAGCATGTTTCAAACCCTTGGCAAAAGAGCTCCCAAAATTAAAACCAAAGAAACAAACAACAATATAGCTTCAGCCTGAGCTCTGAAACATGCTAAGTGATGATGGCATAGCTTCCTCGTGGAGTGTTGTTTTGTGTCTGTGGTCTGGTTGGATCAGTCTCTTGATCCACAGAGCACCACTGGAGTATTTGCAGCCCAGCCTGCAGCAAGTAGCTTAGACAGGGAGGTAGGGATTACCAGGCATGTTTGGTAGGTGCCACAGCTTGTCCTTTTCTGCATAGTATAAAAAAAATAGCACATGCAGACTGTCATAAGCTCATTTCTGTTACAAAACTGCCCTCTGCTCCATTTATTTGGGTGTTCTGAATAGCCAGTTATTTGTTAACTGCTCAGACATCATCACTGACAGATAAATCAACACCCAGATGCCCCAGCAGTAAGTACATTTGCAATGCCTGGACAAGATGGACATCTACCAAGCTCAGCTGAGCTAAATTATAGGGTATTTTATGTCCCTAATAAGTTTCATATGACCAAAGAAAGAGGATTTTGTTAAACTAAATATGAATAGGAATTCACAGATTTTTTTAAAACTGAATTGGGAACAGATTTTTCAACAATATTTGGAGATCAAAAGTATTTTCCCTATACATGAAAAATTTAAATCTGACAGCACATGACAGCTGAAAAGTAAAAGTGACTGTTCGATATTGATTCCCCAAGACAAGGAAAATGCATGAAATTAGGGACTGGGTGGGGACAAAACCTGTAAACTGGTGCTAAGGACCTGCAAAGGCAAATGCAGATATATTCCAGAGTATGCCACATGGGGCAATTCCTGATGGGACCTGAACCCCCACCGGTAAACTTGTAAGTGATCTACAAATTGAAACAGGCTGATAATTACTGAATTAAGCACAGAGCAGCAAAAGTTCCAAGTAACTGCCTACGTCCTGAAAACTTGGACATATATGCTTAAATTTAAGGTCAAGCAATAGGGAAAAAAGGTAACTTAAGTCATTAAATGTATAAAACTATTGGCCATAAACCATATGCCAAAGTGTCTGCAAATTCAAGCTTAAATGACTACTTCAGAAATAATTCTTTTTCAGTATTTTAAAGCATGTTATTAATTCAGGTGACTAAAGTACATTTGTTTTAAAGAATTTAATTTTTAATTTTACAATATCCTATTTTAGAAAAATGACTTGACCTAAGATTATGAGCTAAAAGTGTCTCTGAAAACGGGTGCTAGTTTAGCAGACCTTAATTTTGACCCGTATAATCCTGTTAATCCACAAATGAGTCCTCTTCATTTTTTATCTCTCTTGGTAGCTTAGTGAGTAATAACTATCTTTGAAGAGCATGCACATAGTCCAAATGAGGAATTCTTAAAATAAACTTAAAAAAATGAAACTTGTATTTCATTAACCTTTGGTAACAGTTTTATGAGGAAATTACAATTAAAAACCATCTAGGAAAGGTCAAAAGAAAACCAAACTCAAGCACCATATAACATCAGACTTGCTGATAAGCATGGGACAGATCCAGTTCCAAATGACACTCAGCATAAACTGGTGAAGCAGCACAGTAAATTTCCAATTTAAAAACCTCACTTAACAAAAGCTGAAATGAGATACGTTATACCTACAGAGAACTCAAGAGTCAAGTTAATCCAGGACAGAGTCACTCAGCCAATGAAACAACACAAGCACAGTTAATACCAAAATCTGGGCTCAGGTGTCTCAACACATTCCTGATAGGCAGCAGGTTCAGCATCAGTTTCCTCTCCAGAAAAGCAAAATTGTGCAGGGGTCTATAAAAGCAAGCTCCTACTGAATTGCTCCAGCAGCATTACCTGTCCCATGCTTCAGGTTTAGATCACCATTAGCAGAATGCAAACTTTCAGAAAACTCTTGGAGTACTACCTATTACCAATTTAAATGATGGCTGCTGTCTGCAAGGGCTGTACTTTAGATCAAAATTCATGTTACCTGGTACCAAACAGCCTAAATGCAACATTCAACACAGTAGGAGAGTATTTGATCCTCTGAACTCATGCCTTTTTGTCAAAGGAAAATTTAATGCACAATAAGCTAAGGTGGAAATCTGCAGCCTATTGGACACTAAATCACTGGCCTCCACCATTGAATCCTGCTGCTCCAGTCAGACTTCCTGCTAACAATTATTAGTAGGTTTCATATCACTCTCCTGAGAGAGAATACAGACATCCACCACTCACAGACTGGGAAGACCATAAACTCTCCTTACACTTCATAAACATTACTCATCCTCACATGTGACTTGTGAAGATCAAGGATGAGAAGTGAATTTTATTTCTTTCCCTCTTGATTCCTTTAGATCTTTAATAAAGGACACTAGCTAGAAGACCTAGTAGTGAAAGGAAAGAAAAAAACTAAACAAAAAGAATTAATTTTGTTGTGTGAATAACTCCCCACTTAGAAATGGCTTGAAAATCACCCTAGTATTTTACTATTTACATTCTGGAGCGATATGCCACATGACAATAACTTTTGACAAAACCATCCTTTTCCTCTTGATCCCTGTGATTTAGAGTTGATTCAGGACTGATCACCATCAAGATTCATTGTCTTCTGAATGATACTTAGAGACCTAATTATTCAGAGAGGTGATTTTCTCACCTTGTAAGGCAGTGTGAAGAAATTGTAACTATCAGACATATTAAATGTCCTTCCAGCCCATAAAGACACAAAGCACTCATACGAAACTGAGCTAATGGCAGACAGATGTTTTTGTTGCCACAATACCTGGTATAAAGTTCTTCTTGCTTGTATAGTATTCTCTGCAGTTTGGGCTCACTAATAACTCTCTCTTTTCTCTCTTTCATACAGGGATCGTCAGTGGAAATTTATTGTCTGCAGGATGACAGACTATGACTGCCCATTTCAAAATGTTTAAAAGATTGAGTGTACCCCAGTTTGGGGAATAGACAGGGTGGGATGAGGCTTAGTGATTACAGGAGAGGGGCAATTAGGCCACTAAAAAAGTATCAAGATTCATCAGCTGTCTGCTGAAGACATAATTCTTTTCCTCTGGAGCTAATAAATAAATTGCCAGCCCATGTGCTTGCAACAGTGAATTTGGAGGATTCCTTCAAGCTGCACTGACAGTTGTATCACCCAATTAAAACTGCTTATGACATACATGTTTATGATACACAAATCTATGACATATGCACAGTTACCTTTTTGTATATACATATAGCCATTCTGGACACATACAACTTTCTTTCACATAGCAAGTCTATATAAATTGCTTCCCAGAGCAGTCACTCCAAATGAGGTGGAAACATACTATAAGCTTCCCAACATACACTAGACTTTCTTGTCTTCTACTTTGTATTTGGAACCAACCCAGTGATCCCTACCAGTTTCTCAGCATTTAGTAGCTGGAAGTGTGCTGAAACAGCGTCAGGAGGTCTGTGATGCACTGTATCTGGTATTACCTGTTACAGTCCTCAGCATAACTCCACTGTGAGAAAGGTCTGCCCACACAGGGTCATTCCAGGTATCTACAACACTGGAAGACATCAGTACCTGGTAAAAATGAGAGTAGATCCATCAATAAAGACCAAAGCCTAATCCAGCTTTACTAAGAGTCTCTTTTATATTGTCTTAAAAGTCTCTAATGACAACTAACCAGGAACCCTACTCTGGGCAAACTCAGGAGTAGGTCAGGCCACTCACACTCTCAGTAAATATGGATATCACACTCATCAGAAGTCTGATGGGTTGGGTTTCCACTTTGGGTGCCTGCACCACAGCCATCTGCCCTTGATAATATATTCTTGGCTTAGAACAGACAAATAACGTTAATGACTTAGGTGACTGCAGTTCCTCCAACTTGCAGATCCTATTCCTTGTAAAATATAAGCTGACCATGTTTCAATAATGCACAGCACTTGTGCAGCTGTAATCCAGCAAGAAGGACTATTGATTTCTTTCAGGAAGATCTGAGGTAGGATTTTCATTCTTGAACGAAACAGAATTTAGTGTTCAGTTTCTTAGATGATGAAGTCAATGGCAAACTTAGCAGTGGCTTTGGTGGAGCTGGTTCAAAGGCCATGATGATCCCATGTACCAGTTTAAGGTTGCAAAGCTTCATAGGAAACAGTGGTGTCAGCCAGTTAGTTTCCACGTTCCAAGCATTTTTAATATATTTACCAGCAAACCCTCAAGCATAAGCATTAAAACCAACATTGTCCAATAAATGAATAATAGGTTTTGCATTGCTGTAGCCTTGTTCTTCATTGATTTTACTTACATCAGATTATTAATCTGCACATAAAGAAACCCTCTGTCATTCTCAGAGACCATGAAGGTGATTAGGGAATTTCTGTCAGAGCCAGTTGCTGAGACATATAAGTAACAGTGAGAAAGAGAATTCAAGATGCTTAGGGAAGCTGGAGAAGCTTGTTAGATGACACTGGTAGACAGGCAGAGGAAGGCAAAGGAGCTCCAAACAGGAGAGCACCAGAAGAGAAGGTCCTCGTGCCAGGGAGTTGATGGAAAAGGCTGGGCACTAAAATGGGGCATAGAAGGATCATCTCTGGAAGCACCTACTCTAGATGGACACCCATGTCCCACACAACTTGATCTCAACTACTTAGGCTGCTCTCCATTCTGTGTGCACACCACAGGCTTATGAAGGCCTCTGATTTAGAGCCACAGTGCCACAGAAAAGAGCAGTTCTGGTCTCTTGTCCTGGAACTGCAGTGTCATATTGTTCCATATCATAGAATCATTAAGGCTGGAAAAGACCTCCAAGATCATTGAGTCCACCGAGACAGATAAACCATAGCCCTATGTGCCACATACAGCTGTTTCTTGAACACCTCCAGGGGTGGTGATTCCACCACCTCCCTGGGCAGCCTGTTCCAATGCTTAACCACCCTTTCACTGAAAGAATTCTTCCTGATGGCCAACCTGAACCTCCCCAGAACAGCTTGAGGCCATTTCCTCTTGTCCTGTTGTTTGTTACCTGGGAGAAGAGACTGACCTCCACCTTGCTACAATCTCCTTTCAGTTAGTTGTAGAGAGTGATAAGGTCTCCACTGAGACTCCTCTTCTCCGGGCTAAACACCCTCAGCTCTCTCAGCTACTCTTTACAGGACTTGTGCCCCAGACCCTTCACGAGCTCTGTTACCCTTCTCTGGACTTGCTAGAGGATCTCAACATCCTTCTTGCAGTGAGGGGCCCAGAACTGGACACAGGACTTGAGGTGCAGCTTCACCAGGGAGGGGACAATCACTTCTCTAGTCCTGCTGGCCCCACTATTATTGATACAGACCAGGATGCCGTTGGCCTTCTTGGCCACTTGGGCACACTGCTGGCTCATGCCACCTTTCTCTCTCATTCCTGTCCCAGTCACTTCCTTCCACCCATGCTCTATTCCCAGCTCCACCCTAGCAGTGCATCTGTGTAGGATACATTTCACAGGACTCCTCTTCAGAAAGTTAAGTAATTCTCAGATGAGGAAAGGCGTGGGTGGGAAACAGAATGTATCTTGGGGGAAGGCAGAAATGGGATGTGGACCAAAAAAACCCCAAAAAGCAGAACTGAGGCAGAGAAAGAGTGGTTCCTGTGAAGTCCTAGGACAGCTTGTTAGTAAAGCTGGGAACCAAGCTTAGTTTTTATCTAAGTTGCAGCATCCACATCTAATGTTCAGGTTACTTCTGAATGTGGGAAGACATTGCCACAAAGCCAGTAAGGTTCCAGCACAAACTCCTCAGCACAGAGTAAGGTGATGATGATGAACATGCCTTGCAAAAGTTTGCCAGACTCAAAACCTGATCAAGCCTGCTTTAACTTTCCTAAAGCCATTCTGGAAAAGGGAGCCTTTTTCTTAGGAC